CATACTAATATGCGCTAAACACAGATGCAAAACATACTTGATTGTAACAGTTGGGGAACATATTTGCTTGGCGAATGTATTTGTACTTTGTGCTCCCCCATATACGATTGCGGGCTTCTCCCCGAGGTTGACCGATTGAGGAATACCCAAGAGCCGCAGGGAAGCCCTGTGGCTAGCAAGCCTCCCTGCTTCAGCCTCAAAACTTTCAAAGTTGCTCGAATCATTCCATTCCTTAGCAGAAATTAGAAGAGGGGCCTTTACACTGGCTGAGAGCAAGCTCAAACTTCGAAAGTGTAAGTCGCAAGCACGGTCAACAAATCGTCTTCGCTCCGTTCGTTGATCTCGAAGAAATCCCTTGCGAAGGACAGGCGTTACATGTAATTCTTATTTCAAGAGAAAAGGGGCCCCTACGATTTTGCACCTTCTGCACCTAGGCGTTAATATTATGGAATTTCAAATGAATTCTCACACGGGTCCAAAAACTGAGCAGCCAACTGAAGGCAAGCTCAATACTTCTGCGTCCCGCAAACAGGTCGAAGCAAAACAGGTCCTTGAGAGTGTGCTCGAATTTAGATTGCAATGTGCAACTTAATATTATTTACACGTATTTTGTTAGTAGGTCTGCTGGCGATCAAAATCTGAGGAGCCAACGCGGTTTTCGTTGGGGCCATCAGCGTTCTGCGCTATGTAGTCGATCAAGTGTAGCCTGGAGCGTAGAAGAATGCTTTTCATAACCCGCATTCCCACAAGGCATTGACCTCGACCTCCCGAATAGTACTTGCAAACAAAAGACATCACAAGCGGGTATCCACAATTCCTCAGAGCACAGGAAGTCGCGCTCGAAAGTGCAATTTCTTTCAACATCCAGAAAGCTGCCATTGCTCCGAAAGCTGTTGCACGCCTACTTGTTGTTTTGATTTTGCGGAAAAACGGCAAGGGATCACCTTCAGAAATTGCGGATGGCATGATTTTAGCAAAATACAGACCTGCCCATGCTCTTTCCAAACTGGATTTAGCCTTCCTTGTTTTGATCAAAACCTTGCGCTGGATGCCGCCAAATCCAACACTGCCTGCGTGCTGCCGTGCAAGCTTGCAACACTGCTCATGATGCGCTTTCTTTTTTTCGCGACAGCAAACCTTCAATCTTAAACGGTAGCGGCTCCGCAGTAGGCCACCTTTTGGAAAACGAAGACCACAGCGGCCTAGTCAGACTTATCCCACTCGGCAGCGAGCAGAGCGTACTTCCACCTGAACCCACGATTTTGCAGGGCCAAGTCCACGTAGATATGCATGATACCCTTCAACTGAGCTAGATACGCATCGTGGAGACTGTCAAACTTTGCCCAGCCCACGGTCAGGTTGCCTTGCTGGTTCACCTAGCCAAGGGAGATTTTCACGTCAGCAAAACAAACTCTAGCAAGCAGGACGAAACTCAGTAGTGGACAACCAAGAAATCTTCTTCGCATCCCATCCACAAGTTGAGGGCTTTTACTGTCTCCGGGTCTGCATTGTATACGTAAAACTGGCGATGCACCATCCTCAGCTTCATCATATGCATACTGACTAGCAGCAAAAGGATATATGGCGTTCATGTTTGTAAGGCCCGAGCCACACCCCGATGGCACAAGTCTTGCCGTCCATCCTCAAAGTGTAGCTCCTTAGACAAGGACGTCAAAATTCAAGTTTGGGTTTGAAACGATTAAGCTGAGGTAAAGACTTTCTTTCACCAGTCTTGACCTTGGGCCCCACAACCATTCGGTTGTCCGAGCCTGCAATGGACTCCAGCAAGCTCACCGTCGTCTCGAAGTCCTGAGAAAATGGAGGGGTGGCAAATCATAAATGTTGTTGTGGTGCTGGCTCTGAAACGAATATACTGGTCCTGAACCTCTTTCCTAGGGCTTTTCTTTTCATCCTTGGGGGCATGCTTTGCTTTGGCTTTCTTTGCTTTCTCTTTTTTCGGCTCATCATCCCCTTGCTCCTCTCCTTTGTTGTTATTGTCATCTCGTGCTGCAGGGCGTTTTCGCACCCCCGAAGCTGCCGATCGCCCACCTCTGCCTGTTTCCCCTTCTGCTTGCTTGGTTCCTGCCCGGCCCCTCCCCCTGCCCCTTCCTCTTCCCCTGGACACTCCCTTCGTGTCAGCATCCTCCTGGTTTGCATCCAGCTTGCCTGGCTTCCGCTGCTCGCGAAGCGCAGCCCGGACCTTTGCCTGCGCCTGCGTGCCAAGCAAAAACCAACAAACAAAAGAAATGTCAAGCCCACCTGGATAACAGCGTTGGGGTCATCATCCTCCATTTCCTGCATTTTCTGTGCTGCTTTCTCCATCACTAATTTGGCCACTTCCTTTACTTCATAGTTCGGGGCTTTCTCGTCCTCGGGGAATCAGTTAGTTTCTGGGAAATTCACAGAAGCCAAAAGTAATTAATTTGTTTCTAGGGGAAACTTGGGAACATGCCTGCATAATTTGGATATATAATAATCTTCAGTGCACAAGGAAAGGAAACTCCGTTGAAAATTGTCCCAGACCCAATATAGCACCAAAACATATTGCAAGAATATTTGCTTTCTTACCGAGGGGGAATACGTGTTGATCCGTTGTTTTTGGAAAGCAAGATTTGCGGGCACCTATCGAAATGCACATCTTTCCAATAAGAATTGAGGTCTGCTTAATCCCAGGAAATTTTGGGACTACCCTTCTTCCAAAAGCCACATGAGGGCCTTTCAATAAAATCATACTGTCGAAGCTCAGAATCCCAAATTATTCTTGTCCCCGAACCATTAGACCTCAGAAAACCTAACCCGTGCTCGGCAATAAATGCCAGCTCTCCTTGAAGGTTCCCTTCTCTTCTCCACTGGAGATCTGGCCGCCTTCTTCATCTTCCACGCATTCGTCATGTTCTGCTTCTTCTTCTGCTGTCTCTTGATGCGAAGCCTCCCAAGGCAGTATATCAAAAATGTGTTCAGATGGCACCAAATCCCCAGTTGTCTAAAGACATGCCTTCTCCGCTGCAGCTTCTTCATCTGCCGGGTCTTCTTGAACTTCCTGGCAAAATGGTAAAATGATTTCTCCGCAAACTCGAAAATGCTAATACTGCCTCGGGGGTCGGGTTGTTCTCTTCAGGATTCACCGTGGTCCCCTTCAATGCCTGCAAAATAACAAAAAGATTTAGAGCAACTGCTGACTCTCATTTCGCTGCGAATGGGCCTTCTTGGCCACCTTAATGGCTTCCTTGAGGGCCGTCATCTTCTCCCGGAATACCGCACTCCTGCAACAGTGTCAGGAAAAAATCTGCACCAACAGCTACACCCTAAGCGAAAGTGCCTGACACCATCAGGATTGCGCGTGGTGCGCTCCACTGCCCACGAAACCATCGCTCGTTGGATCCCTGCTTCCGTCTCGCACCATGCCTCACCAGATAAACACGAAACTAAAGCATTTGCAAGCCGTATCCTTTTCCCACCTCTAAGCTTTGCTTGTCGAACTGGTGGAGCCTGAATTGTTCATTTGCCCAGGCGAGGGCAGCCTGCCAGTAGAGAAAAGATACAAGTTATTACCAGTAGAACAAACAACATCCAGCCTTCACTTCCTTCTTTGTTGGCAACTTGTGCGCGAAGGTGACCGCGTAATTGAGGATGAAATCAAAATTGGCATCCGAGCAGACCTGTCGAGTGAAGCACATAAACACATCGATCTGACTAGAATGGAGCGTGAATGCCTGATCTTCACTTGGCTCCTTGGCGGTAATCTCCAGGAATGAAAATTCCACTCCCTTGCGCCAGATATGCATGCATCAAAGGACATTATTTCTCGTGGAATCAAAGGGAACCCTCGCCTCGTTTTTACCTGCAGCTTTGCGAAGCTGCGAAAAGCGATCGTTGATCATGCTGGGCTTCAGGTAGTCCTTGTATAACTCCTGGCACAGAGAGCCGGAAAGCAAAAAACAAACAAAACACCAGTTAGCCAAATGGGCACACAGGCAGCTGTCCTTGAGGATGTTCACTTGTGCCATGTTGGGCTTTGAGTCCGGCATGGCCCTAAAAGAACCTTATTCCCTAGGGTATTTTACGAAAGCTAGAACCAGAAGGGTTTCGGGGTTCCCTTTATTTTAAGGCCTGAAAATTTCTTTTGCGTTGCATTTCCCCTACTCTCAAGAAAGAAAGCTTGAACATCAAAGCAAATTGCACAGTCGCAGTCAAGCACTCAATGCCCAGCAAGCTGTTCCGAGCACAGAAGCAGGCACCTCCATCATCGACATCAGACAACCAAAGACCTCAGAGTTTCGCACAGGAGTGCCAAGTGCAAACCTGCGCTTGGAACTGTTCGCTGAGTTCCTAGCGTCTTTTGAAAGCGGCTTGTGCTCGGGCCGGCATGTAGGCCTTTTCGTGCAAACAAAATGCTTTGTTCATCCAGCTTGCGTTCAAATGATTGAAGTGCGAAAGCTGAAAGCTCAGGTCGGAGCTAGCAAAATCCATACAAAGCCCAGGCAAATCATTCCATTGCGTATCGGGATTACGTTGTGCCGTCAAAGATTCGTTGTCCGCATCCCTGATACCCCGAATTTGCTAACGTGCTCCGCTATTCAAGTCTGGGGTATCTAGAACAAGCTCACGAAGCAACACTTCAGCCTGAAATACCCGCCGTGTGCTTGGAGATTACATGTTGATGGGATTATAATTACAAGGTCCCTTTCCCCACTTAAGAAAATGTTGCAGGGTTATAAAGAAATCCTGGAGCCGTATTTGCGCTGTGCACCCAACAGCTTGTGAACCTGGCAGGCAGCAGCTTACGGGTCTTAGGGTTTAGGGTTTGGGGTTTGGAGGTTTGAGAAAGGAATACATATATAGGCAAAGGGGGAGTTAAACGGGTATCTTGGCAAAGTGGGAGTTAAACGACCACTTCGATCCCTAGGGTATATATATATAGTCATATCTATATATATATATGCATAGGTATGTGTATATATATATATATATTCATGGATAGATAGAGTTCTGAGTGGAAGGCCTGGTCATCAAGCCTCTTTGAGCCCACCACCGGGCGCTTCACCCCTCACGGGGCGCTACCTGGCTCTGAAAGGCTTCCTGCAGGTAAGTAGAGAGTAAGGGGGGGAGAAGAAAAACAATACATATATATATATATACATGTATATGCAGGGATGTACGGTTTGTATATATATATATACACATAAATATTTCCTTCTTCCATACTAAGAGCCAGTAAGTTTTGGAAGTCCTGCTAGGAGAGATTTTCATGTCAGGGGATCTGTTTTTGGAAGCCCCATGTTTCAGTCAATGGCGGCCCGGGAGATTTTTATCACCACTGCACGCCACGCTCAGCACGAAAAGCTTGTCTTTTGATGAGGTCTTTAACTATCTTCGAAGGTTGCTTTCATAAGCACGTGTAGCGGAGTGCTGTCAGGATGACACAAGATCCCTTGGTTGGAAGCCAAGGCGGTTCGTCCATTACTGTCGCGTCACGACTGCACTTAGATGGAGGGGGGGGCCGCATCTCACGGTAGCTGAGGCATTCGGAATCATTTGACATCTCCAAGAACGCACATCTCTGTTCCTGTCATTTTTGGCTTGGGGTGGGTGAGTTTGGTAAGCCCAGAAGCATCTTCAGACAGGTGCTCAGTTTCTTTTAGCTTCAGCCGCTTAGCTAGGTTGTGAACATTATGGAGAAAAAAACAAGGGTCTGGGTTCCTGCAAGCTACAGCAGCTGAATGCGGGTGCTAGCATGAGAACCAGACCTCCAACTGCGATGCCTTCAGGCATGCCCAGCTGCCGTAGGCAATAGATTCAATAGATCCTTTCAAGGGCAACCTCTCACATGGGACTCTGAGGTGACAGTACAGGTGGTAGCATGGCACCACCCGCTTCGTCAGAAACTCAGTGGATGCCTGACGAGAATCGCCTGAGAGTAGGCGCAGGGTGTCGCGTCACCTTGTAGCCAGGCACATTTGTTTCCAAGGAGCTCTTGATTCTGCTGTTTGTAGGAATCCCCAACTACACTACACCGCTTGGACTTCAGGGCGCCCTTGTTCTGGGAAAGAGGTGGGTGTCCAGACTCAAACAGCAGGCACTCTTCAATGACATGTGTGAGACTTGGGGCTCTCATGGCCCCATCTTTTGGATAGGGAGGCAAAGGAGCTCTCTTCTTACCGAATCCACCTTAATCTTCAGGGCAGTCTTGACACCTGTCCATTCTGCTAAATGTTTAGACCAGATGTCAGGCATATTCCAGCTTGAGAGGTCCTTTGCGCAGCAAACTGAGTTGGAGTCCCCGCCTGTAATCCCTCCCCCCCTGATACTAAACCCCGCCTAATATAAAATGACGGTTCCCCAGAAGTCCAAAATCTGAAATCTGCCCCCAGGACTACCTATGAAATGGCCAAGACTGAAGAAAATTACGGATTGGGTCCTCTGAATTAGGGGTATCCTAGCACGAATCCGAAGGATTGGGGATCTCCTTGATTTGAAAGATGTTGATTGGCTTGGTATGGTTTTTTGTGAAAGCATTTAAATTTATGTAGAATCTGAATGCGGTTTTAATTGGTTTCATTGCAGGTTGGAATCGTTTTCAATTAGATCGTAACTAGACCGTACTTAGGTTTCAATTAGTTTCAATTGCTTTGATGTTGATTTTGCATTGGTTTTGTTTGGGTTTAGATTAGATTCAATCGATCTTTATCCGATTTAATATTTTTTGGTCGGCGTTAATTCGATCTCAGTCAGGTTTTAATATGAATTTGTTTATTACCCCACCCCCCTTAAGTTCGGGTCCTACGATAAATGCTTCCCGGATATAAAACACATTGGGGGGAGCCCCTTTATCTTGGGGGGCAAGGATTCTTCTTTGTTTCGGGGACTAGCTTTGGTCTGATGGTTTCTGAAACATTATAGGTCCCTTTAGCAGCCCTTTCAGCCAAGCAGTTGCTCTTTGTGCGCGGGCTGAATGTTGGGCTGGGAAACTGGCAGCGCAGCTAGAAGATCGAATCCTGGATTCCATAGCGGTTAGTGTAGATGACACGTTGCCAGGGCAGGCACATGTGTTGGGACTGTGGCCCGTAAAGCTTGCAGCGGTTATCCGGGTGCCCGCCTTACTCTATGATCACTCCCACTAATAACATCTGGGCATTTCTCAATATTATCCCTATACAATCCCTAATAAGGACCNNNCCCTGGGGTCCCTAGGGTACCCCATCTGTCGAAGCAAGAGGCCTGCCACAGCGCCTGCCAAAGTGGAGCCGAAAGGGAAAGCCAAGCCTGTCGGGCGCTGTGATTCGGCGGTAGGGAAGGTCTCGGTTTGGGTTATAGTCCCCCTTAAT